TTTAAAGTTGGAAAAAAAAATAATATTAATATTACTAAACAGTGAGTAACATTAATATTCGTTTTGTCTACATACATACATAAATATTTACATTTTATATTGCATTATAATTAATATACATGAAATTCCCTTCATATTGTATTCAACAGTAAAAAAAATTGCCAACAACTTGACTCGATATCATTTGGAGTGCAAAAATGCCAAATGCTGAGTGCCTCGATAGGAACAGCTCCTTAACAGGTCCTTAAACGATCTCTCTCAAACGAATACAAAATAAAATACCTGAAATTACAGTTTAAGTATTTATGACTCAACTTAAGAATATATAAATAATTCCAAGCCATAATATAATATATTATATTTATATTAATGTGAACTATACATATAGCTAAAAAATAATAATAATTTTTTGAGAATTTTTTAAATATATAAAATACGTTGAATATTATTGTGGTAATTATTATTTGTTGCAATAATAGATTGTCTGCTGCTTATATATAAAAAAAAAAAAAATAAAAATATCTAAATCAAAACATTGATAAATACATATACCGAGGAGAATTTCTCAGACTTTGCATTCGCAAGTGCTGCTAATTTATTTTGCACAGCTGTACATACTTTATATATGAATTACTTTAATATCGTGTATATACTTAAGTTTAACTCGTCGATAGCTCCCTTGAATTCTATAGAACTCCCACTATATGAGCTGCAACCGTTTATGCCTTACCTCTGAGTGCCTGAGCAGCATTGCACCTGGGCGTACTCAGAGCGAATCGTCGAGTCCGATGATGGAGCTGATTGTCGCCTCAGAGAGCGATGCCTTTTATTAAAGATTCTTATGCCATAACTCAAATCAATTGCCATCGTCTCCCATGGCGCCGTCCTGCACTCGATCGAATTTCTCACTCCCCACTCCCCACAGGAGATGGCATAGTCAGTGCTCAAACAGCAGAGTATAGAGCAGTTGAGTACATTTGTATCTGGCATTTCTTGAGCTGACGCCACACGGGTTTGGTGGCATTCTTTTTAAGTTGGTTGTAAATTGAATTGAAATTATTTGGCAAATGGCAGCGTAGCATGCAAAAGCGAGCGTTGCAGCACTTTATGCAAATCCAGTGACAGATTTTCACGCCCCTCTGGCGGCAGTGGCAGCGGCAGCGGCAGCGGCAGGAGGCGCAGCGAGAAGAAACTGTAATTGAAAAGTAGTGCAGCATTGAAGGCAGCATTGAAGGCAGCTTCCATCATCGTGAAGATATTGTTACACGCATTTGAAGCTGAGTGGAGTACATCAATTTGCTACGGGGCGCTACGGGGCATTTGGCGGCACTTTGTCTACCGTTTGTGCGTCATTTGCAGCGCAGTTCGGTGCTGCAAACGATGCCATTGGCACCGTCAACGGCACCGGGACCAGCATCGACATTGGCATCGGCATCACTTATAAGCGTTTAAGTGAATGCGAATGCGAATGCGAGAACGCACACAGCCACTCGAGCATCATGCAAATGACATTGGCATTGCCAATGGAATTGCCCAGCCCAACCCAACCCAACCCAAACCGAATTCCAACCAGAATCCGAATAAGAATCGACATCGGAATCGGAATCGGAATCTGAATCAGACCTGGCTGCCAGCTTGCAAGTTCTCAGAGCCATTTGTTTGCCATTGATGTGCACATTATGGAGCTTAATATTTAATGCAAGTGCAAATCGAGTGAAGGCTTCGTTTCTTAACTGATGGCAAAACCTTTGGCTGGGGTAAATGTACTACTTGTGACTGTATGTCTGGAATATTATGTGATTTACGCGTTAAATGAATTAAAGAATTTTTTAAAATTATTTCTCTTAAAAATATTAATTATATTTTTCAATATTTATAATAGATCTAGTTAGCGTCAAATCTGGAGTGACTTGACGACTTTAATTGTGAACTAAGGGAGAGTATTGAGGAATTTACGAACATCCCCGAACTAATACAATGACACTTCGTTCCAGACGATGTCAATTGATATGATATATATATGATATATTATATGAGAATCGAATTCTCGGTTCAACAATCCGCTCAATAATCTCGCTCAACGAATCACTCGGATTCGAGCTCCGGCATATATGTATATCATATACTAGAGGTAGAATCACTCTCTGAGTCAGGTACACAGAGATAAAGTCCCAGTTCATAAGCCTCAGCATAAGCCGCTGTAATTTAAGCTTCTCATTGCTTAATGGGAATTAAAAACGTTTCGCAATTCATGATCATATTCCAGTATGGATAGAGATTATATATTACATAAAAACAACTGCAGCAATCCCCAAAAAATACCTCCAGCCATTCAATCTTACTTATTATCATTATCATCTTTGTCATTATCATCATTTGTCATATGCTCTTTCACGTAGGCAGAAGAGTATATTGGCTTGATGCACTGCGAATGTGAGCTGAGGTAGGCTTGGGTCATATGAAACCCCTTATTAAGCAGGCAAACCAAGAGATTAACCAAGTATTATATAGATGTGGGTTGATGGTGACAAAACTGAAAAAATATATAACATAATACATAAAGGTTTATCTCCTAAAATGTTAGATGTATGTATATCTACTAAGATCCTAGAACATACATGTACTTATGTACATATATGTATATCGGAGCTTGTGCAGGATAACCTCTTTTCATGTTCATCGATCCATACAGCCACGCTCTAGAACGAGTCCCCGGTGTTACTTCTTAGCAACGACTTCTATTTGGCTCTTTGGCTAAAACACAAGAGGCTCACATGCCGTCTCTTTCTGTCTCACTCTGTTGAAGTGCCAATTTGAGTATACTAAGGAATATACATAGTATACTTACCAACTTGAGTGTTAGCTCGCAAACAACTCTAGTAATATGACGCTGCGTTATTAGGCAATGCACTTTACAAATACATACACATATGTATATTCCGCATACAACATATACATGCTCGTCTGTATGTATATGTATATACATTCATATAAATTTATTCATACGTACATACATATATATTATTCGTCCCTTGAGCATGTCTATATTGGGAACGAGTATCATGCCATCAATGCTCTTCTTCTTCTTCTTCTTCTTTTTTTATCTCCATCGCAAGAGAAACTTCAAAAAGTTGTGCGTAAATAATAAGTTTTGCTTTATTGAATTTCATTCCATTAAAATGTTACCACATAAGTAGTTATGTGTGCGTGTGTGTGTGTGTTGGTATCGTTGCTGCTCTTTAAAAGTTTGTTAGTTGTGATTGTTGTTGTTAGTTCGTTCTCTCTTTTTGCTGCATTGTTGTTGGTTACATGCACATATTGTATAATAACGCCTTAGTTGAATTTAAATACTTGGTGCTACATAAATTTAATTTCCATAAATTTATTGAATATCTGGCTTACTGCTTTAAGGCCAGATTGCAACTTTTCAGCTGTACTTAAATTTTGGCAAAGCATATTTCAAGAAAACCTCAAATTTGCCAACCTGCAACTATTGGCATTAAATTAGATTATATTAAGGCATTTTAGACCAAAAACACAGTCACAAACAGGCCTGCCTATGATTGTAAAATATTTGTAGTGTTTGTGTTCATTTGCGGTTCGAATAAACCAAATTGATATATTGCAAATTATAATTTCTAGCATACGTATACACTAATGTTTATTACATTCTGAATATTTATTCAATCGATTTTTTAAATGCACTCCAATTAATGTATATTCAACATTAATATTTGTTCTATATATATTGCAGGTATTGTTTAAATATTAAGTGTAAAATCATATTTGTTTTCAATTATGCAGAATTTATATTTTTTCTCCAATTTAAATTATATTTTCTGAGAGTATATTTACAGCGAAAGAAGTTAACCAAGTCAATCAATAAAGTTCTGCATATGTTAAACTTAAAAAAAAAAAATAGATTACATAGCTCGCAAATCACTGTTAACCGCTTCTCATGGTCTGTTAGTTAACCAAGTCAAATGTAAAAGTGTTGCATATGTTAAACTGTTAAAATGAATAGATAACATAGCTCGCAAATCACTGTTAACCGCTTCTCATTGTCTGCATTCACTTCAACTCTGCAAAAAAATTCAGAGAGCAGCCGATTGCAACCGATCATTCGCGACTTTCTTCGCGATCGGTTAATTACCGTTTTTGTTGTTGTTTCGCTCTCGCTGTTTGACCCAATCGTTTACTTGAATGAAATGAAGTGAAATGACTCTTTGTGTATGTATTGGTATGCATGCTAAAGCTGTGCTCGCTAAGCACACTAACAGCGCACGCAAATTAAATGTGCGCATGTATATGTGAGTGTGAAGACCAATCGCATTGACTTTTTCAGTTATTTGCTCACTCATTAGCTCAGAAGTTACTGTGTCTCGTTGTGCGTGCGCCAATCGTATTCTCAACGATGTTTGTTACAAGAGCGTCATACGCATAGTTCCACTCGAGGAGCTCAACAGAAAAGCAAAACGAAATGGAATCAAAGTCTTTTGCTTTGAGCTAGAGCGAGTGAGTATGATATTTTTTGTATGACTTTGCTAGCAGGGTGTGCAATATAAGAGGGTTAACGGTTAAAGCGGTTAACAATTCAAAATATGTTTAAGGTATGATCTAGTCTGATTGATAAACTTTTATACATCAGACACTAATCATTAAGAAGTTAAAATTCAATCAGAAAAATGTATATATTTTATATTCATATGTCTTTTCTCATTCAACTAAAAACTTACCGCATCCAGAACTGAACTTTGTTTATTGAAACTAAAGTACAAGTCGTGTCGTTCGTGATCCAGCCTACCTTAAAGCCTTATACCCATATATATAACATTTGTGTCTATTTTTATTGATTTAATTAGTTTTTATTTTAATTTGCATATCGGTTTTGTTTTTATTTGTGTTGTGTGTTGAAGCCAACTAAATAGATTTTACATTTTGAATGGTTTATTAAATAAGTAGCCTTTACTTGTTTGCTGCTTCTTTTTTTTTACCTTTTTTTTTGTGATTCTACAATACATATACTATGTACATTCAATACAACATTAGTGATTAAATATATGCCTTTCTTAAATTGTTTTTTTTTTTTTTTTAGTATATTTTATTTTTTTATTTTTTGAAATTTTTTTTTTCTTTTGATGTTTCTTTGCTTTTGAATTAATTTTGAAACCTATTTGATGCTGCGTGCACTGAAAAATGTTCGAACTGTTGAAACAAGTTTTAGTTGCTGGATAAAAAAGCAATTTTATTCACGCTACAATCAAAGCCAAATTACAAAATCAGATTAGTGTCGGGCATTATGAGTATTACATGTATATGTTTTCGCTCATTTTTTTCTCAATTTATTTTGTCAAACGAATAAATTGTGTTGCATACATTCAGGCTCTTTAAGTTTATATATATTATGACTACAGTTATTTCACTGTGTGTGTGTATGTGTGTGTGTGGGGTAATTGCGTCTCTACTGTGGAGATTCTTCTGGTAGTTTGTGTCAGTTACTATCATACACAAAAAAAAATCTTAGCTTATATATCCATTTTTTTTTTCAATATTTTTTTTTTATATTATTATTATTATTATTATTTTATTTTATTTATTTTTTAATTGCCTATAACGTTTGCCGTTTATGTTTAATATGCAAGAGTACTTATAAAAAAAATACAAATTAAAATTAACAAAAAAAAAGACAACCAATTACAGCTAGTGCTCTTTTCTCATAGCTCGAAACTTAAGACTTTGGTTCGAAAGCAACTACTCAAATTGATGTCTAGGCTTAGGTTTGGTAAGCAATGGATAACCGTTTGGAACCACGTCGAAACGTAACGTTGAAATACGTGCGAATTCGATTGTTATCGATTAATTGCGCCCGATTACCGATATCTTTATACACTGCTGCCGTTCTGTCGCATTCATCGGTCTGAATTGCTTCTGTTTTCTTCTTTGTCTTCTCTCTTCATTCCGTCCTTAATTCTAGATATCATCTTTTTAAATCCATTCTACCCGATTCCCTTCCTCCTCGTCCACTCTTAAATTTGATATGCTTGTACAAGAACTTAATTGAATTCGATTCCAATTCTATGCGCTTCGCTTGGGGTCGAACTAGTTGTCCATCATCTGTATTTCTTCTTTGTTTTTTGCTTATCGTCTTCTCCTTCTTCTTCTTAATCGTAATCGTGTTGCTGGAGCGGCTTAAGGCATTGGAAAGTGATTCTGCTCGAGCTCCTTGTGCTGCTCCCCGTTCAACTTGTGCGCGCCGACGCTCTCCAGCCGCCGATCCGTGATGGCCACAAAGGGCAGACGCTGCTTGCGGCTGAGCGAGGACGAGGAGAGCGAGGAGGAGGAGGCGGCCCCAATGCCATCGACCACGCGATGATAGACAAACGAGTTGAGTGGCGAAAACGGTGAAGCTGTCGCATTATGGGCATCCACGTGGCTGTTAGCACCGACCGGAGCTGCTGCAGGAGCAGGATGCCAGCTGCCTTGCCCGCGGCCCGACACATTCGCCACGAACTGGGCGCTGCGACTGCGCGGCGTGCCCAGGAAGCTGCCCGCGATGGCCGGGTACAGTGGTAGCTTGTACAGGGCCGGCTTCGAGGTGGACGTGTGCGGCGACGGCGACTTGGGCCCGGCCTTTGTTTCGATTTCCCTCTGCCAGAAATCAACGGCAGCCGACAGCTGATGCTCATCCAATTGCTTGTCCTCCTCGGGCAGCTGGTTAAGCTGCGACGCCGGGCTGCTGGACAGCGTGGCTGGAGTTGTGGTGGAGCTGCCGCTGCTGTGCTGCTGGGCAAAGATGTCCTCGTAGCGCTGCTGATAGCGACGTCGCTTCTGCTTCACGTACTCGTCGTCCACTCGTATGGGCGCCGACTCATGCGGGCCCGGCTGCAGCTGTGAGCCGCTCCAGATGCCCGGGAACGGTGTGGCCGTCGGTGGCGGCAGCGTGCCCTCGAGCAGGTTCAGCAGCTGCTTGTTGCGTCGGTTGTACTTCTTGATGTACGGCGGCAGATTGGCCTCCGCGCCATGATCCTGCTGCGCCTCCTCCAGCTCGGCAGCCGTCTCGTAATCGTCGTCCGCATCGTAGTCCCCATAGAGCTCCGGGTGAGCCTCGCGGTAGTGCTCGTCGTACACCTGGAACTGAACGCGCGCTAGATGCGGCCACTTGGCATAGTAGCGCTCCAGTTGCTCCAGCTCGGTGATCTGGTGGCCCAACTGCGGCTTTGGCGGCGGCAGCGGCGGCTGCGGCGTTGTCGGCGCCGTCGCTAGCTGAGCCGGGGCCTTGCGCTGATACGGATTCGGTAAACGTTGGCGTGCATGCTTATGATGATGGTGCTGATGATAATGATGCTTCAGATGATGATGATGGTTGGCCTGATGCTGCTGCTGCTGCTGATGGTGCTGCTTATGCATCTCAGTGCTTTTGATGCCGTTGCGCAGCACTGGACTGATGCGGCGATACCAATTGTCATTATCGCTGGCAATCAGACGCTCCATTTCGGTGTGATGTGTGCCCAGGGGCTGCAGCGGCTGCTCCTCCTGATGGTCGTAGTAGTTCACTTGGCCCTCATAAAACGGTTTCGGTGTGTTGCGCTGCGGCCGCACGCCCAGAGCAAAGATTGGCGATGCATGGGCGTGTGCCTCCTGTTCAGTTCGTTCGCGCTGCTTCTCCTGCTCCTGCTGCTGCTCCCGCTGCTGCTGCTTCTGCTGTTCCCGTTCGCTTTCCTTTTCCTGCTCTCGCTCCTGCTTTTCAGCCAGCTGCCGTTGCTGCTGCCACTTCTGCGCGTGCTGCTCCCGATCCTTGCGCTGCTTGGCCGACAGCGCGCTGCTGTGCTTCAGATAGTCCTTGTAGCGCTTCTTGTGGCTCTTGTGACCGTTCCGGCGACTGCTGCGCCGCAGCGCCTTGAAGCGCTCAAAGGCCGACGGCGACGCTGTCGTAGCATCTGCAATAGAGATTGAGAGTCATATTAGGCATGGACTGAATGCTGGAATTGAGAGTCTCGGCACGATGCGCTCGCTCGGAAGTAATAGATTTCTATTAGTCCCGGGGACAACAAATCGCCGTATTTGCAGATGCCTGCTGTTGTTGTTGTTGCTGTTGCTGCTGCTGCTGTTACTATTGCCGTTATTGTTGTTTTTGTGACGCTCATCTAAGACCACAAAATCCGTTGCCCATAAGACCACAATTCATTTCATTTGATTGTGCATAAAAGTGAGGCAGCAGCCTCGCCGCCGCAAAACCCAAGCAAGCATCACACAGCGAGGCGGGTAACGAAAGTTCGGGAGAAATTCAGTTGAATAATATTTATATGAATATTTAGTAAAGCAATCGGAATGAAAACAAAACAATTTTAATTAAAAACAAAAATTTGTTACTATCAAAAAAAAGGTCTATTATAAAAATATATATTTTTTCGTTAATCTCGGTATTATTTAAATAAAATGATAAGAAAATGTCTATATTACACAAAAAAAACTTTTTTTTATTTATTTGAAATCAATATAAAATAAAATTGTATATTTTTATTTTTTAGCAATTTTTTTTTTTTTTTTTAATTTTAATACGAGGTTTTTAATAAAAACCAAGTATATATTTTATTATTTTGGTTTAAATTATATTGAATATAATTTGAAAATATATAAATGATAAATTTTACAATGAAACTAATAGTTAAGAAATATATATGTACATATATTTTTTTAAATATACTTCAAAAATATATAGTTGTAAAAAATAATAAATACAAAATATAATACAAATTAAAAAAAAAAAAAATAATTGAAGGTAAGAAAAAATATATATTTCTAAAATGTAATTAGGCTCAATTTTAATTTTTTTAAATTTTAAATAATTACAATAAAATAATTTAAAAATATTTAAATGTTATTCCTTTTATTGTAATTATTTGAATATATATATATTTTTTTTTTTATAGTTTTTTTGTTAAATATATGAATTATATTATTTAAATAAATAAAAATAAACATGCATATATCGACTAAGACTAGATAAAAAATTTCTATAGTCTATAGAGAGCCAAATACTCAAAAAAATTTAACGAATTTAGGCGTAGGGAATGACTTAGTATAATCATGTAGAGTAAGGTTAATCACCAATATCAGCATCATGATGGCTGTTGCTACTTATTATTCATCTTTTTATTATCTAAGCATCTATTTAAATTATTTTACTTTGGGCGATTCGAAAGTTTGAACAAAGTTTATGAAATTTTGTATGTCTCAAGTCTCCAGTTAACCCGAAATTGAATATATCATGAAAAATCGAACGGCCCTCAGAGGCAGAGGCGCCGGCCAAGCACACATCTAACGGAACGACTGGAGACTGGCTTAAGATGCGGCCAGGCACAGGACCTCTGGCAGTCTAGGCACGTATCAGGGGCGACTCCTCCACTACAATGAATGCAGTGCGAAGTTCATTTTTATTTTACTTTCCTCTCTTTTTTGTTGTTGTTTAGTTTGCGGGTCAGCGCGGGATATATGTATGTGGAGGGGAAACCCTCGAGACATGCTCTACATTGAGCAACGGCTCGATGCAGAGCTATACAATATTTGCCGTTTTGTTGGCTTTATTGCTTCAGGCAGGTAAAAAGAAAAAAAAAGAGAAGAAAATAAGTGAGCTGGGGCTGCTTGACTCGAAGATATCCTGGCTTGGTGGAACAAAAAGCAGAAATCAACTCTAGAGAACCTTAGATTTTTGATATAGATTTCAATAAAATTAGAATGGAGCTGTTGAACTAGAAGATATCGAAGAAAAGAAGTTTGCTCAAGGAAATTTTGTGAGAAATGGGAAAGAGCATGCAAAGGTTTGAGTAAAGCTTTAGGCTAAACTCTTAGCTAAATCTATGGAATATTTGTAATCTCTATTAAGATTTCAATTGATATCGAGATTGATGCATTCAAACGAATGGACAGAGAGAGTCAAGACTATTCGGCTATAATTTCTTACAAAAGAGTCATGGCCACCTGGCCTCCACCTCATATAGTCCGGGACTCTAATAAAAACAATACTCCCGCTATGCTCAGCTCCCAGTAGGTTCCCAGTATCAAAACGAAAGCTCGCAAAATAAAACTGTTGTAATAAAGTGGCAGCCCTGGGGTGCTTGGATGCTTGCTTCGTCGGACGGCAAAGTTTAGTCCGTTTGATTTCTGGCTGAATTTGCATAAGTTCGGCAAGGCACATAAACTAATTAAGGCAACATCCGAACACACTCACACACACACACACACACATACAAACGCACATTCGAGCATTCACATTTGCACCCATATTAAAGAGACTTTTCGTTTGGCAAATGCGGTCGGAAATTTTGGTGTGCAACGTCTCAATCCTCTAGGGGGTTTAGCTGCATTCAATTGGGGTTTGCCTAACATATTTTCAATTTACGGTCGACAGCTAAAGCACAAGCGCCAGCTTAGTGCACTGCAGTCCCGTCCAGATGAGCAAATCAAAGTAAGTCCAGTCGGGAGTGAACGACTAGACGATGCCCTCATTGCTCGAACTTCGATTTGTATATGAGTCGAGGTATCGACGTTCCATGGAAAATGTATTTCTGAGTAACTTTTGCATATCCCTGATTTTAGGGAGGTAAACATATTCATAGATTCGTGTGGAAAAAATATAATTCTATATATACTAGGATAGTTTATATGCAATTCTGATACCAAAGTCTTTTAGATATATTAGCAGGCATTCTAATGTGGAATCGGCTACACCTCTTTCGGTTTGGTTGTTACATACCTAACTCCCAATCGGTTATAACCTGAAGTTCCTCATTCAATGAGGGTATTAGAGAGCAGAAACCATAAAGGGAAACCAATTCAAAGCATGTGAGCACTGGATGCCCAGCCACAGTTTTCAAACAGTGTCGGAAACACCACAGAAATTACGAAATTCATTTGAGTGTTCACATCTAATCGGCTACTGATGGAACACAATCGTCGAATAAATCAGTTAAATTCCTGGTTTACTTACAATTTAAAACAATTGTGTGAAAGTAAAACTAAGAATTAAATTGATTACAACATGAACTCTACCTGAACTGTCAATAGACTAAAATTGAAAGTAAAATCAAAATAGATCGAGTCACAATTTATATGCACGCGCTCTTCGTTTATTGCCCACTGTGCAGCTTCTTCACAGCGCTCAAGTCTCTCCCATCTGATTGTGTGTGGCATGCAGTGTCTCTTGTCATTTGGACTGACGCTTAGTCTGCATTCCCCTCTATCGCCACTGACTCTACCGATCCGTGTCCCGATTCCCATTTGTGTGTTTAGCCCGTGGCTTAGTGTGCATTTTTAGCTATATATATGTATATAATATTATTATATGTGTATATATTTCATTATTATTTGGCACTGCCCGACTATGAAATACCCTGTAGCAATATTCATATATAACTCAGACTGACAGAGGATCTGTAAAGGAGATTCGAATGGGAATTAGCTTATGTTCTTTTGAATAAGTATCAGCCACGCCACGCCCATTCTTAAGAGCTCAATTTCTTTATATATTGAACCTAGCTCAGTAACAGTAAAGTTTTATCTAGGTCTCAACTATTTTTGTATTTGCAAATTTAAAATTTATAATTTTTTGCCTTAATTTTTCTTGCAGGGTATCTGCTAGTCCATCAGCTCATTCTGTGGCTTTCGTATTTATTTTGGCTTGACTTTGAACAAGCTTTGCCACTCACAAAATGCCCAAATGACTTACCCGGATGATAACGCAATGTAGACTCCAATTCCAGTTGCGACGTCCTCTGCTCCCCCTGCGGCTCCTGCTCCTGCTGATGCTCCTGCTGCTGCTGTTCTTTCTTCTGCTGATGTTGCTGTTGCTTGGTTTCATTTATTATATGGCCCAAATAGCTGCTCAAGTAATTGGCCGGCGCTTTACCAGCACCGTCCTCAGTGCCACGCGAATGCTGCTCCCCGTCGTAGTAGTGCAGCTCGCCTACATCCTCGGCGTTTAGCTCAAAGTCGGCGGCATGAATGCGGCCTATGCCGTAACTCTTCTTCTCGTAGCTCCTGCTGCCGGGCCAGGACATGGCGCTGTGGCCATTGCCATGTCGCTTCGGCTTGCGGCCAATGGGCGCCAGCAGATCGTGCCGACTGGAGCTGCCAGAGGGTGCTGCCTGGGCTGTTGTTGTTGTTGTTGTTGTCGCCGGTGTGGTGCTGGTGCTGCTGGTGGTTGGGGTGGTGCTGGTGCTGGCGCTGGCGCTGGTGGAGGGCGTGGCTGTGGTGCTGGTCTCTGCCGGCGACATTATCATCTCCTTGGACACCGCTGATTCATCATTGTCAATTGCGGACTTAATGTTTTCCGCCAATACTTTATCATTACCAAAATTGTCCTCAATATCGCCGATTGCCATAATGTCCTCGCCGGCGACATCCTCCTCTGCGGCTAGCAACGTTGATTGGCCGGGCGCTTTATTAAATTTTCGTTCATTTAATATTTCAATAGAATCAAACAGCTGCTCCACAGCCGGCTGCTGCTGCTCACGTTGCCATTGCCTCTCCTGCTGCTCCTGCTGGCGGGCCGGTCCATTGGCATTTGCCTGCTGCTGCTGCTGCTGCTGCTGCTTCGTCTGCTGCTGTTGCTCCTTTTGGCTCTGTTGATTTTGCTGTTCGTGCATGTTCTTAAATTTTTTATACGCAAAACTTTTGCTGTCAAAGTTCGCGTTCGGCTTCCCATCCTCTGCATTGTCCTCGCCCGTGTCCTCATCCCCGTAGCCATTGCCATTGCTATACCCATAGCCATAGCCATAGCCATTCCCATTCCCATTCCGCTCGTTGTCGCTGTCGACTTCATCGTTCCTCTTGCCGTTGTTGTCCTTGGCACTGTCGTTGTCGTCACCGGAAGTGGATTTTGTAGCTGCTTCCTCTTCATTGGCAACTCTCTTCGCCGGCAAGCTCTCCTTATTGTTTTTCAATTTGTAGCTGTAGTGGTTTTTATTGTTGTTGTTGTTGTTATGGTATTTTTTCTTGACTGTCTTGCCATCTTTGGCTAGGTAAACAGTGAAATTCCTTGAAGTGGGCCTTTGAGATTCAAGTATCTGCAAAGAAACAAGAAGCGAACAATAAGAGTACGTAAAGACAATAAAAGCCATTCGCAATTCCCATTCTCACACCCAAAAAATGCAGCTAGCTGCATAGCTGTATATGCATATGACCAAATATATATACATATATACATGTATATCCTTCTCTCTATATACATATATGTATGCAAAGCAACGTTTCTGTTACTGCAGCTGAAAACAATAAAGCCAAAGTGGTTCCATCTAAAAGGCGCAGCATCTTATTCAGTAACTTAGACACATGTGCCACAATAAAAGGCAAGTTTTCCTGCAGCTCGCAGATTGTTCCAAAAGTTGTTGTATCTCTCACTCTCTCTCTCTCTCTGTCTCCCTCTTTGTCTGTCAGCTGTAAGCGACTGCAAAGCGCTGATTAGATGCGCAGTACGTGGCAGCCATGCAAGCGCAACTCGAAGATTACATTTATCCAAAACATTGCGGACAACTCTTCTACTTGGCAACTTTGCAATCTAGTTAGCTTGGCAGTTAAGGCACACGAAGAAAACAATTGAGTCCAGAGCTGCAGCAATCAGTAAATATCGCATTGTCAAATTAGATTAGAAACGGCCCAGAAGAAACCCAAAAGCATTTCCTGAAAAACAAAACCAGTGAGAACAAGTAAGGGCGAGCGGTCACCCCGACTACGAGACACTCTCGCTAATAAATGATCTAGACTTTGGGATAGACACTATAAATGCCTTTTATAGCATCAGCATCACACTCACTAGTCTTTATAGCTCGTCAGCTCTACCAACACCGCCATTTCAGTGCTCAAACAATCGTTTACAAATGCGAAACTTCTTCAAATTCAAATCTAAGTAACGGCTGACATTTTCTTCTATTACTGAAAGGATTTCAATATAACTTACATCATATGATCTACATGTGCTATAAAATATTGTACGAAATTAAATATTCAATCAAGATATTAAATAAATTAAATAACATAAGATATAAGTTAAAGGTAAATTTATATAAATTTATATGTGCTAAAGCTAAAACTGAATTAAATTTTTATAATTTTTCTTTACCCATTGAAAACGGAAAATAAGGGTACAATGTAACTAGAGATCTGAAATATTTATTATTGATACTATTTTAACGACTATTGATTTGTTTGAAATCTACAAAAATTATCTAGTTCTTATAGGCTTAGATACACAAACGGAGCGATTGAAAGACGGGCGGACGTGTTTATATCAAAACAGTTCGTCTTGCCAACCAAGAATAGATAGGTTAGAATAGAATAGAATTAGGTTATAGGTTATAAAACTGAATGCTTGGAATATTCGCACGAACTATGGAGTTGGCTCACATTTCAGGTTCTCTTTCACACATTAGCATTCGAATATCCCATAGTAAATCACCTTAAATCTATGTGCAAAAGGGCATTCAGCTTTGGACTTGCCGCAGTTGGCCAATGGCATTGATGATTTCCAGTTGACCCGGTTGGGCAAACGCTTTGGCTAGACAAACTGCATATTTAAAGCAATCATTCAGAAGAGTAATCGGACTTAGCCAGCACATTGTGCGACATTTCAATGCGTTGTCTCTTTTTCTTCTTCTATGGTTACCGTTTTTTTTTGTTTTTTTTTGTTATCTATACTTTTTTCCAATGCTATCTAACTGCATACAATATCTCTTTTTGTACTTTTTTGTATGTCATGTGTGCGAATGCAATGGAACTGACCTCATTTGAAATACTTACTGACTTACAGCACCCACGCAGCAGCTGAACACACATTATATTCACACACACACACACACTTATGTATATACACACTCTATCTATACTCACAATATCCGCTGCCTCGTACTCGTCAGCCTCGTCATCCGCAGGCTCAGCATATTGCATCTGGGCAGCCGCATCTTCACCAATGTCGGCATCATGTTGGTCAAATATGTCCTCCGGTATGCTGGCCTCAGCTTGCAAATTAAAATCTGTAATTAAGAAATTCAATTTTAATACAAATTTATATGAAATAGGTTTGTCGCTTAACGTTTGTTACTATTTAATAGGAAATTTAGAGTTAGTGAAGTAATGGAGAGTGATGGAATTTCTATATACTGCTTTTCTTTTTAAGTTTTTAATTATTAAAAAATATTTGAAAAATATTTAAAAAATAAGTTAATTAATTTCTGATAAGCTAAAACAATTGACCAAAAACTTCCATTCAAATTTTGTTGATATCTCTCTTAGTTCAGATTTGATCAGTACTCAAAGTTGTTCTGTTGTTGTGCTAATTGAGCTTTGCTGTGAGCCACTGTATGCTTCTGCACTCAAAGATTAATAACTTGAATAAGAACCAATTCACCACAGATAATTTCGTAGCTGCTTAGCCAAGTTACCCTTTAGCGCGTTACCATATCACAAGTTGGCAATTTGCACCGTGTTCGATATGCAGCTGCACACTGTGCTCAGAGATGTGACACCGCAATGCATTCCAAATATATATTATGTACTACACATACGTACATGCACACATATGTACATACATATCCGCTTGGGTTAGGATAGACATGGGTTTCTTTAAGCGTTTTACGTAAATAAAAGTAAGCTGCTTCAATTGACTTCCACTTTCGAGCGTAGTCGTTGTACCCATTGAAATATGAATGCATGTGTGTATTATACATGGTATATGTGTGTGTGTGTGTGTGTGTGTGTGTGTGTGTGTGTGTGTGTGTGTGTG